CTTCTTCTTCTTCTTCTTCTTCTTCTTCTTCTTCTTCTTCTTCTTCTTCTTCTTCTTCTTCTTCTTCTTCTTCTTCTTCTTCTTCTTCTTCTTCTTCTTCTTCTTCTTCTTCTTCTTCTTCTTCTTCTTCTTCTTCTTCTTCTTCTTCTTCTTCTTCTTCTTCTTCTTCTTCTTCTTCTTTTCTTCTTCCTCCTCTTCCTCCACTCTGCAAACCCCACTCTCTTCTAGCACGGATGATGTTTGAATTTTAAACTTTTTTGCCCACCGCCACACCCAGGAGGGTACATCCGACCCTCACCCACTGCAGAGAAACCATAGCATGGATGATCCAGGCCCACCCAAAACCAGGACAGAGGAAGATCTGGAGAACGTTCTCACCAACTCCACACTTCCCACAGATCAAGATCTCATTCAGAGGCTCCGATGTCTTCTCCAGGCAGATGTTGCATTCCGGCTGTTCACTGGGAATACCAGCTGGAAAGCAGGAAAGGGGGGGGGGAAGAGAAAGAAATCTGGTAAGCCCGATCCAGATGTAGAACTGTAACCCAAGCCATTTGAAGGGCAACTCGGCGGAAGCCAATCCATCAGAATACGTGGATAATTCATATTTTCCCAATTGCAATCAGTCATAGATGTGACGCCTTTTGTCAGGCTAGTGAACTCCTTGCCACCCGGGTTGACTGCAAAGGAAGTCAGATTTTACTCTCCATGATTCAAAAAGAGGGCAAGGACGCTCCCAACACGCCTAGCACCTGTTCCAAGGTGATCCAGCTCACCCCACCTCTTCCCGGCAAGATTCTAGTCCTCATGCATTTCATCAGCCGTCTGCCTCAAGAGGCATTTGAAAATCCTGAGAATTCCCCAAGGGCGTAGAGGCCGGGAAATGTTCACCCACCATGCTGGATGTCCTTCCAAAGCACCCAGTATTTGGAGTTATCTTCAAAGGTCACCAGGCAACTTTGCTTAGCATCACTCACCTGTAAATGCAGAAGAAGAAAAAAAATGCAGAACACAGAACTCAGATTGCAAAGTTAGAGTAATCTAACTTTGATTTGGATTACTCCAATTTGGCAAACGGGGGTCTGCGTTCACGCCCCAGGCCACGCCCGAGTGCAAAAAACAAAGGTGGGGTTCCTCAGCACCCTAAAACAATGGACTCTCCACCCCCACATGGGCTAACTTAACATGTTCTGTGAAACCCGCCCCCCAAATTTTAATTATCCCTTTTGTTCCTTCACCGGCTTTCGAGGGTATCCAGAGATTGCTATTTGTAGCAGAAAAAGGAGATGCAATGATAAATAATTTTTAAAAAAAAGAAAGAAAGAAAAGAACAGGCTTGGGGAAGGGCGGGAGAGGAGAAAGGGAAAAAGAGAACGTGTTATTTACTCTCTTAATCTTCCCAAGATAATAAAGTCCATCAGTCCAACGGCACAAGACATACTGTCCTTCAGGCAATTTAGCCATCAGCTCCCGCCGGCTGTCCCGAGTTCGGGCTATCCAGTCTGCCATCGATTGCTGCAGGTGTCCGAGGGCTGCATAAGTGCGCCCAGGGTCAGGGGTCGCCATGCTCCTGGGCTACAGAGAGAGAAAAAAAAGAACATTATTTCTCAAAACGCACAGCTATGATTAACACAAGGACACCTAGCGCTCTCACGCCCAGTTCACGTTTTTGATCTGCCAAGTTGCGGCGTTAAGGCAGCCGAAATCAACGTTCGGAGCAGGCAGATTTTATTCCGCTGAATTAAATTAAACCCAGGGCTGCCGTGCAGTCTCCAGGCTTTAAACTCCATCTTTGGGAGACCAGAACTGAACTGAAAGACTGCACAACCTTGAGTGACATTCAAGAAGCTGAAAAACTTCCAGGTTGACCCGAGAGGGCTCTAGGGCAACCAATTTGCCCAAGTCAGAATGCCATCCACTCTCGGCTGTATTGTGCAATTCCTGTAAGGTCATTTGTACACCCGGGAAATATGTACCCAGCCTGGTGGAAGGCCCAGCTGGGCAAAAAACGCCTGGCAGCTGGAACCACATCTGGCTGGATTTCATCCCATGACGCCGGTTACTCGGTGGA